TCCAGACGGATATTCTTCTTCACTGTAAAGAATGGGACCGAATGCTTGAGGAAGAAAACTGGGAACCAGAGCAGATTGTAGCCAAGTTACCTACTTTCTTACAGTTCTTGCGAGCAGTTCAGAGTAGTGTGGCACCATAAATTGCTGCCTGTGGCAGGGTAGTGTGAGTGGAGACTGAACTTTTTGAAATAAACATTTCCAAACACCGAGAAGAGAGTTAAAAATAGGACGCAGAGCTGAATATTTTTGATGAACTTCGAGATGTTTGCAAACGTGGTCAAACTCTCGAGTATTTCATATATCAATTCAATCGAAACTAAAACTATGGAGAAAACGGAGAAAGAAAATCGTAAAACTTTATACTGATTAAGATCAGATACCCAAACACCGTCACGGTCATGATGTCCTTTCTTTAAACTTGATGAATTATTAGTGAGTTTGAGAAGCGCTATTTTCAACATTCGTCCAAGTCTTAGCTTCCAAGGAACGTTTCAGAGAATCCGAAAGCTGTTGAAGTTCTGCAATGCCACTGTCTTGACCGAAATTTCTGGAAATTCCGTGATCAAAATCGAATGGAAAGGGAGCTTTCATTGGGAAATTTTCGAAAATTATGGTATTCACTATCATCTCTTTAGGAAATTCGGAAACATCATCCAAACATTTTAGCCGGAAATTATGGTCGAATGGAAAGCACCCTGTTTCTAGCACGATCTCAAGTAGTTCAAATATATACAGCAATAACAACAAATTTGACAATCATTCTTTGATTTTTTGGTCAAGATGGCAAGGACAGCATTTCTTTTTCCAACATCCAACATAGGACGTTATACAATGGGACCGTGGGACCCCCGCTGAAAATGTGCTCTCCTTGATCTCATTTGCCCCGGTATCCATTGCTTCACTAACAGTTTTTATGAGTTGTGTTTGCCATTGTCCTTATTGTCCTCGTCTATCTTCAACGGTCTTCCTCCGAGCTTTTGTTTATTGTCCCTTCTCAAAAAATGATTGTCGCAAAATTGTATTTAAATAAAACCTGCATTCTTATTGTGGTTCAACTCCCTAAATGTTGATATTTAACTCATGTCATTAAAAAGAGAATTCCTTTGGAAATTGATTAGAAATTGATCGTGTTTGCCCCATTTAAAACTCCAACCAACTAAACAGCCAATAATTGTAAAAAGACATAAAAAATAAACAAAGTAATGGCAGAAATTATACACAGAACTTACACAAGCTTCTACTTGTGCTTCATAAGCACAAAATACACTCTTGTCACGATTTTCAAATACAGTAATTTTACTATTCTTGCTCGTCTGTTGGTTTTCCCTTGACGCCCACCTCGAGCCCAGTCTCTTCAAAAGGACCTTTACCCGCGGCCATAGTTTCTTGCGTGGGTAAAGCTTCTTCTTTACAACTTTTCCTTTGGACATCAGAGCTGTCGCGTTCCTGAAGTGGTTTCCCTTCAGAAACTGAAGGCTGACCCTTGACTCCTATCTCCAGCCCAGTCTCCTCAAAAGGACCTTTACCCGCGGGCATAGTTTCTTGAGTGGGCTTAGCTTCCTCTTCACAACTTTTGTTTTGGACATCAGAGCTGTCGCGTTCCTGAAGAGGTTTCCCTTCAGAAACTGAAGGTTGACCCTTGACTCCTACCTCGAGCCCAGTCTCCTCAAAAGGACCTTTACCCGCGGGCATAGTTTCTTGAGTGGGCAAAGGTTCCTCTTTACAAGTTTCGGTTTGGACGTCAGAACTGGCGCTTTCCTGAAGTGGCGTCCCTTCAGAAAGCTCTTCACGAGCTTCCTCGTCTTCCTTGACTTGTGTTGTATCCTCTGCCTCTGTTCGCTGTGCTTTGCCAGGCCCATGTGTTTCCTGTAGAGGCTGCTCCCCTCTGCCATCTCTCTGGTCTTCAATCTCGACCTTTGAATCCTCATTAGTTGGGTCTTTTGATTCCTGTCTGTCCTTAGCAAGTTCTTTTAAGTCGCCTTCTTGAAAAACGTGCCTTACACTTCTTTCTGGGTTTTCTTTCAGCTCGTCCTTTTTCGCTTTCGCTTCTTCGCTTTCCTGTACTGGCGCTTCCTTCATAAATTCATCTTCCATGACAAGTGTGCCAGACATACTGCTCTTTGGATTTTCAGATTCTTGCACAGGCTTTTCTTTCATGTGTTCCAACTTGCTGACATCAACAGACGTTTTCTCTGCTTCTGGGGTCTCTTGGGTGGGTTGCCTTGCCTCCTTGTCATCTGCTATAAATTCTTCGTCCGTAGCAGTCTTCTCAGTAAAGCTGTTTTGGGGGTTTTCTGTTTCTTGAACTGGTATTTCTTTCGCCTTTTCAATCTTGCTCGAATCAAGAGTCGATTTCTCCGCTTCTGGGGTCACCTGGGTGGGCATTCTTGCTTCTTTGGTAGATTCCGCATCAGCTCCATGACCTTCCCTTCCCGTCACCTGCACAGGCACAAAACCTGGCCTTGTGTCAGCACTACCACCACCTCCCTCCATGCTTCGAGGCGGACATCCTTCTTGTGGTGTTGGCGACTTTGGATCGTGAGCAGGAATCTTTCCAGACGGCGGGATTGGCATTTCCAAATGCCGAGGGGGTCTCGTCCCTGATGCTGGATTTCCTAGAAAAGAAGAAACATGCTGAGGAAATACTGCAGTAACAGGAGCGGTGTGCTGGACTCCACATCAACAGCATCAAGCCTGGATGGGTATCGGATCTTAGTGTTGTATAATTACCTGGGAAACTTTCCGAAAATGCGCGGAAATTACCTGCGATGGACTAGCATCTCATCAGCAGGGGGATTAAAAGAAAAGTCTTCTTCAGGGCAATGGCCCATTAAGCCGAAGTTTATCCCAGTTTCTGTAGCATGAAGGGACTAGGGGTATTTCTACTCTCTCCTGGACAGGGTGCTAGTCCATCGCAGGGTTACCCCCAGCAGTGAATTCGCCAGTATCTATTTATACAAATTGATGGAGAGAGGTACTTTGAGAGTAAAGTGACTTGCCCAAGAACATATCGCAATGATCCTGAACAGGACTCGAACCATATCGCTCGAGTCCAGCGCAGTAGCCGTGAGGCCACCGCGCCTCCGCTGCAGGGGAAGGAGCCGTCCATAATATCAGACATGTTCCTAGCTGGCTATTTCTTGTATCAACTAACCTGGAGAAGTAGTGATTGTATTCACTGAGCCTTCGCCTCCCACGATAACTGTATGAGCATGTATCGTCGTGTTCGCTTGGAGAGGGAAAATATTAACAAAGAGTACTCAATTCACAATATCCTTCGAGGGTTCAACTTCGTCTCACTTTTGTTTTGCGTAAACCATATAGCTACAGCTAGGGGTGGTATCATTACTAACTAAATCTTCAAAGTTTCCTAGTTTTATCAGGTGCATTACTTATGTGTTGTCAAGGTCTACGTATAACAAGAACGACCAAGCTGATTAAATCACGGACTATGTACTTACACGTGGGTTTCTCCCTAGTACTGACGCTTCCTTCCAATTGACTTTCAGAGGGCAATGCTGATTTCTATTTGATGACACAAAAAATCTATTGGTTAGAAGTTTAACATTCACTTTCATCCATCATGTATTTGGCAGCGAAGTACATTTGGTGTAAAAAAAATGTCTTATTTCGAAAGCAAACTCAGAAGCAGCACCATATCTTACAGCACAGACAAGGGACAAGTGACCACAAACTCACGCAAAAAACAAAAACAAAAACAAAAACAAACGCGACATAAAAAACGTGGAGACGCGAGAACGTGTGCACAGCACGAATAAGAAACGCACGTGGCAAGACGCATTAGTATGCACGAGTTTTCTTGTTGTTTTCCCAGCCAAGAATCTAAATACTACCCAAGCTGCTGAATCATTTCATCGCGAGCGTATGAAGAATTACATTCGGAGCCGGGAAGATTATTGAAACAATCACAGCATACTTCAAACAATAAGAACTACTAGAACTTAAACAAACGCCGCAAAGCATCCAGGATAAAAGTGGTTCCGCGATTTAAGAAATCGGAGCTTTAAAATTAAGCCTGTGCATACTTACGGGATTATCAACGAAAGGAAACCTTGATCCACGACGTTTCCTCTTCCACATAAAATCAGTAAGAACCTAAACAAAATGAGAAACAATCCACTGATGAATGAACGTTTCCTTAATACTACTTATATATGTATGGAACATTCAAACTAACACTCGAATCTCCACTAACGGTGAGCTCAACAAAACGGCCAGGATCGTTCGATTCTACCGTCACCCAATCTATATCCTTTACTCTTAGTGAAATCTTCCCACTACAGCCACTTCTCAACAACAGCCAGTTATCTGGTCTTTGCCCCATTGAAGAGAGGCTCGGAGGAGGAGGCTCGACGGAGGAAGAGGAGGAGGAGGAGGAAGAAGAGGACATTTAAATACAATACTTCCCACCATGTCCATGACAGTTTGCAACCTTGTTTGAAAAATGAGAATGAAAACCCTGATCCATATATCCCCCGTACCTTCCACCCTTTTCTGGAAGCCTTTGCCAAGTGCGCGTGATTTCCAAATAGATACAGACCACACCGTGCCCGAGATATTGCCACACAGAGTCGATTCATTGATGACAAGTAGCCAATCTTTCCTTCCTTGTTGCTTCGGACCAAAGAAATGAGGATTATATCATTTTCTTGCCCCTGTAAAGAAACAGTGTTAACCAGTCAAAGGGACCCACTGGTAATCTCGTGGAATACATACATTAGCATTGCCTGGCAGGTGCCATATACTTGTTCTATTGCGAGGAAGAGGGAAAGAAAATTTTTAACACACTATAAATTAAAGAAAGTTTTACTATATAGGTTTTTATTGTAAGTTATCTTTCTTACAAGTGAATATATGAAAGATCATATCTTTCTTAGTTACGTAGTTCGTCAAGTAATGTAATTAATGTATTCTTGTTAATATAGTTAATGTACTCTTTGTGTAGTTTTTCACGCGACAACTAGGAAGACCATTTGTCATGTAAAACTTAGTGGGATACCGAGTGGTAGCAAATTGTTAAAACGATATCCCAAACGTGAAGATATCATTCCATAACACTGAAGAAAAATTTCGTATCTC